TCCTATCGTTTCGGCCGTCGCTCGAGGTGCCGCCGCGTTCCGTTCTATGTGGCACCTGGTGCATCTCGACGGCGAGTCACCTCGTTCGCCCCCACCACCTCCGCCACCTCCTTCTCTTGCTACGGTGCTCCCTTCTTTCTTCCTTCTGTTCCCGAACCAATACCGGTACCCCAGGCGTTGTTCCTCGGGTATCGTCAGACTCCTCGTCGACGACGTCAACGACGTTAACGTCGCTACCACTGACGCATCCGACACCGAAGAGCGGGAGATCTCTCGCGATGACGAAACTCTTCGGATTACCGTTAATAGGCGTACTGCTTCTTGGCTGCGACCGGCTATGCCGGCTTGGCAGTGGTGCCGGGGAATTGCAGGGAACACGATGACGACGACGACGACGGTCGCTGGAAAGAACGAGACGATGCGAGATAGAATAACTCGACGACTCGACGTAGGGGATGACGGCGCGTAGCGGTGACGACGACGACGGTGATGATGACGACAGAGAAGACAGGGAGAAGGCATCCTCGCCTAAACCCCCCATCACCAACTACCGGTTGCCGGCACCTCAGGATCAATCTCACCCGAGCGATGGATCGCCGTAACCGACCGGTGCACGCGGCTCGTGGTTTCGGCCATTCGCGCTCGCTTTGCTTCCGCGTTCACACGTTCACCCATAAACGCGTTTCTTCCTCGTACTTGCATATATTAATCTCGCGTCTTTCTTTCTTCTCCTCCTTCGATAGTATACGTTTCTCTCTCGTATATGTTTCGGACTCCTCGTTGAACAGCGTCCTTGAGCCGACCTTCCGCTCGTTCGCGCGAGCTAATCCGAACGGGTCGTTGAACTTGACTGTGTGTGCACGCTTCACTTCGCTACTCTAACCCCTTTTCTTCTCCCTCTTTCTCTCTCTCTCTCTCTCTCTCTCTCTTTCTCTCTTTCTTTCTTCCTCCCTGTCACACCGGCTCCTCGACTCGAACGAAGCGGCGACGTCGCTCACTATCGACTAGGGTCTTCTCGACTTTCTCGGGCACTTTCTATGTATACCTAACTCTTCACTACGGCTAAGATCCCCGGAATAATAATGCACCATTTAAAAGTCTGGCGCCACTCCGTGTATGCCAATGCTCCGATCAACCGGGCCTTCACCCGTGAGACTCACGGCGCGCTACAAAAGTGCGGTCCTCGTGTTCTCACCTCCGGACGACGATGCTTGGCGTCCACCCGCGGAAGTCCACCCCTCCCGCGTGCTCGTAGGATCCTACGACTCGCCGGTTAGCAGGACTCGTCGTCGTGCCTGTCTGCCGCATGCGGCAAACGTTGCGGGCGGTCCGTCCTGACCCGCGCGGGCGACTCGCGTGAACCTGTCACCGCGTACCCCGTCACCGACGACGAGCACCGTAACGTGGCCGATGCTAATCGCATCCTTCTTCGCGCGACAACAATGATCTGACGTAGGAGGGAACCGCGTAATTCCACGTACACGTTAGATCGTAGCCTCGTCCCGATTCCTCCCGGCTTCTTCCTCGACGCGCTCTCCTCCGCTCTTCACCTCCTCTTTCGTTCCCGCTTAACGTTATTATCTCGATCCTGTTTGTTGGCTGTCTCTCTGTTATACGACAACGGCAGCAAGTTAGCCGATGTCATCCGCGGTGAACCCCGAGAGCGCGTTCGAGGGATCCTCTTGTAACGACCGAAGCACGCTTGTCGGAGGCGCGCCGGACACTGAGGGGCAACCACCACCACTACCACTACCACTACCGATACCGGCACCACCACCGCCGTACCATTACCAGCGGCTGTAAGCCGGCAGCAGCAACAGCAGCAGAGCAGTAGCAGCAGCCAGCAGCAGCACCAACACCACCACCAACCAACCAACCAACCAACCAACCAACCAACCAACCACCCACCCACCACCACCACCACTACCGCCACCACCACGAGATATTGTCCACCCACCCACCGCGATATAGGTACTCTACAACGGCCGACTAAACTCCTCGGTAACTTTATATAGGTGGGCCCTTATAACGCGATAGCTCTTCGCGATTTGCCGCAAACGCCGCCGAGATATTTAAAGCCCCCATATAAGAGTACGTATGAGTGTGTAAAGTCGACCCTGATGATGACAGCACGAGCGATTCCTTCAGGGTCGGCGATGATTTAAAAAATGTCGAATAAAAAAAGAGGAAAAGAAAGCCCCGTCATGTTTATGTTATTGGTAGTCGCGGCATATATATCACTCGCACTTTTATTGAGACCGAGGACGAGAAGAATACAGAGAGAGAGACTGACAGATCACTCGAACCAGTCACCACGTGTCTGACGCGTGGTACCGCGACGGCAGATTGCAGCTTCGCGATGATCTCGATGTATCTCATTAGCGGCTTCCACCGTTCGCGAAAGAGCGATCGAGACCACCTGTTAGGCGTCAACGGGACATCACCGGCGAGAAACTTTGCCGATGATACGATAATGAGTGGAAAAGAATGACCGTCCATTCGGCGAAGGGTCGAAAGCTTTGGGACATTTATCGCGGAGTTCTTGGTAGCTAGAATTGTTACCAGGACACGCGAAAATAATTTGTAAGTTTATTCGTGACACAAAATGATTTGTTTATATAACGTCGAAACGTGTGACTATGGTTGTAATTAATAACCTTCTAAAAATGGAGGAGAAAGATCGACGTTACGCGGTTTTCGACATTATAAACATGCGAGAACAATATCCAACTTTAGATATTCGAGACATTCTTCACGCTGAAATTTCAACTATTCAATCGTGTTATTTCAATCGCTTTTTGGCAGAACAAAATAAAAAAGTTTCGATCTATAACGATACTTTTTATAACGTTAGCAATATTCTCTCTCTCTCTCTCTCTCTCTCTCTCTCATCGATATCTTGTTATATTTATAATAATTATTTACATGTAATAATTACAATGAAATGACGCGATATAATTGTTATATCACATTTCTCTATCGAATTCATTTTTAAATAGGATTACTGTAATCTGGACTTTAAAAAAATTAAAAAATATAGCTTCTTTTTTAAATTGAAAAAAAGTGTGTATGCCGTTATACAAAAATACAACTATCTTAATGAATTGAATAGAATTAATTACTTGGAAATTATATAATTTTGTATTCAACTTTATTCAAGAAATGCGGTGAAACTTTCGGAAACGCGCCACGGTGTAGATCTCTCAATCGTGTCAAGACGCGGCGGATCTCGAGAGGATACAACGCGGCACGACATCCCGGTGCCTTCGACGTACGAATAAGCGAATACATTCGATATCGCCGTGATAACAACGCGTCGCATCGCGGCCTCCTGATCCGCCGCCGCTCGCCGCGGAGAGGCGCAAAAGGGAGAGGCCGCGAGAGGAAAGGGATAGAAAGAGAGGCGAGGTAGCCTGTAAGCATATTGATCAGGAGACAGTAGTTGGCCGCATGCCACGTGGTGATGCTACGAGAGGCGCCGGCCTCTCCACCTATTATGAGCCAAGGCTCCTATCTTCGCGTTTCTTCTTTTCCCCGCAGGGTTCACCCTCGACTCCACCACCGCGCGCGTTGTCTCTTCACCCTTCTCCTCCTCCTTCCATCCCTTCATCCCTCTCCTGCTCCCGTTCTCCCGTGTCCCTCCCGCAACCGATAGAGAGCTCTTTTACTCTGCGCGCTATCTCTTACCGCATCTCTCTCTTTCTCTCTTTCTCTTTGCTCTTTTTCTTGCTTGTTACTTTATCCTCTTGTCTTCAAACTTGTCTTTATTCCAGGCATCTAGAATGCGTATGTTCACATACATACATGTGTGTATATACATGTGTGTATTTACTTATATATATACATACATACATACATACATATATATATATATTAATATTCGCTTGTGAAAGCCAAATGCGTGTGGCCCGCTCTAGCGTTCATGGAAACACGCACACGTGGATCCACCCTCGATATCTTTCTCTCTCCTTCCTCCTTTTACGATTTCTCGATAGCCGATCTAAAATTGAGACGTCAGCCTAACGAGCTCGCCTGCATCGTCCGAGCGCAAAAGACATCTCCCCATTCTGCCTCTCCTCCTCTCGCTCGTTCGCTGGGACGATCTCTTAGTGGCAACCTTGAGGGAAAAAGAGGATCGGCAAAAAAAAAGGGCGGAGGGAGTCCTGTTAAATGATCGAGTCGGCACAGAGAGAAAGCCGCTTCTCTTCTTGGGTGGCTACCGGTTCCCCCCCCCCCCCCCCCCCCCCCCCATCACTCTCTTAAGCGATAGTGTTGTATAGTATAGTGCCGGCTCTTGTCGGCCTTTTGATCCCACGGAAGGATTCATTCTTTTAATGTAGGGTCGATAAGGAGGGTAAATCGACGCGGGTATATTCGTCGGCCTTTTGATCCCACGGAAGGATTCATTCTTTTAATGTAGGGTCGATAAGGAGGGTAAATCGACGCGGGTATATATTCATCGTATACCGACACCGAGTAAGCTGAACAGTTACCTCGAGCAGGTTCGATGCTCTTGCTCTGGAATGCTGATAAAACGTCAGACGTAGATACCAACGGTAACGCGACGAACCGCTATCGAACGATGCACATGCAGAATTTTTCTTAATTTGGAGTCTCGCTCGCTTAAATGGCACGTTGCCGCCAAAGCAGAACTTACTCTCATGCGATGATAGAGAATTGTTGACAAATTTTCAATCCTGTATTAAATTAAACAATGAATACATTAGGTGTAGGTATACATATTTTTATACTAAATATATAAATTATTAAGTAAAAGCACCTTATATATACATCAGAATGCAATATTGCGCGCAATTGCATAATCTGACTTTACAATTTTATGCTATACAAATGATAAAAGTGAATGTGTGGTCTCTCCACTTCTCTAATTCTTACAAAGTTTTCTCATTGTAATTCTAGACATGATTGGCAATTTAACATAATTTTCAGAATCTACACCCGAAAGTAGCGTCTAACAAAATGTATCGGATATAACGTTATTATTATTTAAATCTTTATTTTAACTTATTTTTATACTACACCCACATTTATTTTCACATAGTAATGAGCAACATGTAGCAATTGTTTTATTCAAATGAGAAATTACAGCAGTGTAAGATGGAGTTATATGTTGTTCCAACAAGAGCAACTTCGAATAAATAAATTTTTATTAATATTGGAAAAACTAATTTAATTTTATAATTTTTCGATATTCAGAATCTCGTTGCTCGCGCTGATTAATTTTCTTGACACGAAAAATTGCAAAACATTTCATTATTTCACTGCAACCCCATCTTACAATGTACCATTTCTGTATTTCGAATAATAAAAGACATCAGAGAAGTTTAATTTATATTATCCCTTCATATCTTGCAATCGTCTCCTCTAATCACGCAAGATTCGCGATAATCGAGATAAGATTATTGTCTGCGTATTATATAAGGAAAGATTTGATTGACGGAGATTTTAATCTTTTCGATACTATTGAGATCAAATGTTTTATGGAACCATTAAGAAATGCCATTAGATTTAAAAATTCTATTTTTACATTTCTTTTTTTTTTTGCAATCATTTTTAAACAATATCGCGAAATATAGTATCGAAAAGATGAAGGATAAAAGGATCGAGTATAATATTATGGGAGAAGTATCATATATATATATACGGACATTAAATTGTGCATCTCTTGATTTAACATTATAATACTAATCAATAATGGAAGACCATGTGTTTCGCCGAATTAGTAATTCGGACATTGATAAGTCTCGCATCGGCCCGCATCAACACCTCTTTGATAGGCAAGGAAGAGATTCAATTCGGCAAGTAATACTCTCGTGGTATGTACTCCGGTTTCGGACTACTTGGCTCGATACCGAGTAACTCCCCCATGAAAGCGATGTACGTGATCGCCAAGCGCAACGTTTCGATTCTCGAGAGCCGTTTCTCATAAGCGAACGTCGGTACCTGAAATCATTCCACATACACAGGAGACGTGAAACGCAAAATGTCTTCTCTTTAGAAAAAAAAAAAAACATTTTACATACTTTTCTGCGGAGTTTATCGAAAGCCTCGTTCAGATTGAACATTCTGCGTCTCTCCCGGATATTCGCGGCTCTCCTCTGGGAGACCGTCGCCACTCGACGTCTCGGTTTCTTCGTCGTCGACGACGGCAGATTCGGCGAACGGCCGTTTGGCGTATAACGACTGAAAATTCCATATTCTCAATTAAGGGGGTTACCTGGTTTGGAGGGTAAAAAAAATCGATTCTTTGTTTTTTGCATTTTCTTAAATAACAACTATTCCAGAATGTTTTCTGCAAATTTGAGTTCGATTCCTTGAAAATTTTCAAAGTTATAGTGGTTGGAGTTGATGCGATGAATCAGCAATTAGATTTGGCGCACCGCAAATCGAAAAAATGACCTGATAAGGACATTAATGAGGACAATTCAGCTCAGCCTAAAGATTTTTATGAAGACAATAAGCCCTTTTCCAGGAATCGCTGATTAACAGACTTACTGTAAGTACCAAAAAAAAAAAAAAAAAAAAAAAAAAAAAAAAAAAACAGAAATATTCTAATTGAAAACTTTAAACACGTTTTTCTCGAAACGTGTTTTTTCAATTTTGCTAATAGTGTCGAAAGAAAACGGCTCAATGTAATGATTTAGGCTTTTGGGATTTTAAGTATAACTATTTTCTCCATACGCTAAACCTAAAAAAGTAATAAATTTTTGAAAAATAATATTATTTTTAGCAATTTAATTGCAATAAAAATGATATGAAAATAAACTTATTTTTTCATAACAGCATAATTTTACCAATTCGCAATTTTTTAAATTGCAATAGGTTTAGCATGTGTGTTTATCATTATTAATTACAAATCAATTTGATTTTTTTGTTTTAGGCAACTCTTGACGTTTTGACTCTACAATATCAGTAACTTGACACAGTCATTGTAGACATGTCCGCCGCGTATGAAGATACCTTATCTAGGTAAATGTTCAGATTAACTTACACCTCACGGATCATTTTTATTTTTACATATATTATAGAGGGCACATTCCTAAGTAACACGCACCTTGAATTTTGTGGCGCTCTCTTCTGGTTTCAGAGATATGCGATTTTGAAGTATCATAATTTTCGCATTTATTTCTATGATCTTTTCACTATATCTTACTTGCGTGTTTATGTTTTTTTGTTTACATTTGCGTCACAATCAGTATATTTTCGCTAAGAATTTCTTTTGTTTACATTTAGAGTTGTTTTTATGTTACTGCTAGTACGCTTCAGAATCGTACACTTGTTCAGTTCCGCTAGAAATTTCAAAAGAAATACAGCAATGAAGCTTTACGAATTTCTATCCATTACTGCAGATAAAAATATTGCTTCTCCACGTAAAGCGAGGTTCAATGCAAACCTATGTGTCTAGTTTTTTGATAGTGGAGCCCCCC